CCACAAAGTCCAAGGAAAAAATGCAATTAGAAAGGGGAATCTGGGCCCGGCGCTGTGGCGCAAGTGGTTAAGGTCCTCGCCTTGCACGCCCGGGATCCCATATGGGCGCCGGTTCTATCCTGGCAGCCCCGCTTCCCTTCCAGCTCCCTGCCTGTGGCCCGGGAAAGCAGTTGAGGACGGCCCAAAGCTTTGGGACCCTGCACCCGTGCATGGGAGACCCAGAAGAGGAGGTAGATTCTGGGGGGGATGTGTGGGCCAAATCCTGTGGAAATAATAGCCCCACTGGTTAGCTCAAGACCCTGTACCCGCGTGGGAGACCCGAAGAGGCTTTGGATCGGCATAGCATCGGCCGTTGTGCTCACTTGGGGAGTGAATCATCGGACGGAAGATCTTCCTCTCTGTCTCTCCTCTCTGTATATCTGCCTTTCCAATAAAAAAAATAATAAAAATAAATCTTTAAAAAAAAAAAAGAAAGGGGAATCTGTGTGGGCATTCAGCTGCTGCAGGCACGCACATCCCACAGGACATGCGGGAGCCCAGCTGTGGCCAGGACGGACATCTGAGCAGAGGCCAACACACACGAGCTGTCGTCAATAATCTTTGGAAAAGATGTGTATTTGTGGTATAGAAAATGTTGAAGTCTACTCTATTCTCATGATGGGCAAACCAAATACGAGATTTGCAAAAGGTCACAGCAAAACAGGCTTAGGAGAGAAAGCACGTTTTCCACCAGCCTTGTGGGAGAGGAGAAAACAGAGCCGCACAGTTCACAGGATGGAGATGTGACAGAAGCCTGAAGGAGGTGACCGCTGGCAGGTGTTCCCAAGTGGTGGCAACGAAAGGTGCTGCGGAGGGTCCCCTCCAAGCTATCTGTGCTCAGTGCTAGGCCCCCACCCACAGCTCTGCAAACACCTGCTCCTCGAACCGTCCCGGCGCTACCCCGGCCCGCCGGCCGCCTTACCTCTCCAGCCCAGCTTGATGTTCCACTCATAGAAGAAGATGAGCTTTCCCTTGCGGTTGCTGCACGAAGCCTCGCCTTCCACCTGCTTCAGCTCACACAGCTCGGCTCGGCCGGCCTCGTTCTCCACCGCGATCCCCACCAGCAGTTCCCGCAGCTTCCCTCGGGACCAGGCAGTGGCATCGCGCTCCGTCCTGCCAGGGACCAGGGAAGGCCACAAGGGGTGAGTGGCAGCTCCGGGCCGTAACCACCTGCCCCGCTGGGCGCCAAGGGTCCCCACGCCCGTCCCCCTCCCCACGCCCGGCCCGCAGCTCGTTCCTGGGGCCGTTATTCCCCAACAACGTCCAGCGCGCTTTTGTCTGAAAACCGCCGGCCAGGTCGAAGAGGGCCTAGCCCCCGCACAGGATGGGCAGCACCTGGGCCCTACGCGGCCGCTCAGAAGCTTCCACCGCGGCCCCGACCAGTTACCCAGCTCCCTTCCCGAAGATCCCGTCCGAGGACCCGCGGGCCGCTCGTCAGGGCCCTGTCCATGGTGCCAGGGCCTGGCCAGTGCCCCCCGCCTCCCCGCTCGCCGTCCGGGCCTCGCTCTGCCCCGGGGACCTGTCCGGCACCGCCTCGGTGGCCCGGAAGGCTCACCACAGCTGGGGCCGGAGGACATCCCGTCCCGCTCCGGCGGCAGGCGCGGGTCCACGCTCCCGGAGGAAAGCGAAAGGCGCGCGGCCGAGCCGGCTCGCCGGAGCCCGCGGGACGAGCCCCGAGAGGAGCCCCCGCTGCTGGCCGCGGCCACGGCCCACGCACGGCCCCGCGCTTGGCCGCCCCCTTTCCCGCTCGCAGCAGGGCGGACTCGTGGCCTCTGACCGCCGGCGCCCAAAGGTGGCCGCTCCCGAGTCGCTCTCGCGGCCCGCGCAACTTTGGGAGGCGGCGCCGGCGAGCCCCCGGGGCCCGGGGAGGCGCCCGGCGAGGCCCGCGTCCTCCCCCAAGGGCGCCGCGCTCGCCCGGGAAGGCCCGCGGGCCGCGCGCCCGCACCAGTGCCAGTTGTTCACGTTGGTCCCGTCCTCCCGCTCCTCCACGATCCAGCGTGGATCCCCGTGGCCCCATTTGGCCATGGCGGCGCCGCCTCGGCCCCACTCAGGGAAGCCCCGCGGCAGCTGAGGCGCAGCGCCGGCTGCAGCGGATCGGGTGTTTCCGGGAGCGGCGCGTTCGCCAGGCCCAGAAAGTACCAGAAATCCCCGCCCCCGACCCCGCCCCGCCGCCCGCCCCGTGCTGCCCGCTGCCGAGCGCCGAGAGGGGCCTGAGGCCGCCGGGCGGCTCCGGGCGTGCGCTGCGCGCCGGGCTGTCGGCGAGGCCGTGCGCGGCTCCACGGCGCGTCCACGCGGGCCTTCCCCACGCCGTGAACACGGGCTTGTCACCGTGCGCGGTCCGCGGGCCTTCCCCACGCCGTACGCGGCTCCACGGCGCGTCCACGCGGGCCTTCCCCACGCCGTGCGGGCGCTGCAGGCCGGGGGCGGCCGTGAACCCGGAGCGCGGGGACGCAGCCCCGGCGGGGTGAAGGCAGGGCCGCGGGGCACCGCTCTCCCTCTTGGCCAAGCGCGAGTTTCTTCACGGGTTCTCGCCAGGTCGTTCGCCCTGCAGTTCCCAGGCCGGCAAGCACCAGAGCCTGGTTGTCTCAGCAGTTTACACGGTGTTGGGCTCGTGATGATCTCTTGGCGGTGACAAGCCCGAGTTCTCCCAGCTGAACGCACTTTGCAGTTGTTATGGGGTAGTACTGCGTCCTACTGCGATCCCACCTCCTAGCTACACCTGCCGCAGCCGATTGGAGATGGTTAGGTACACGTGGCTGCTTATTCAGGGAAGGTGGGACCTGGTCTGTGCGTGTCCGTGAAATTAACAGGAGGAGGGCTGGGTGCATCAACCAAGGCTTGCCTTGCCCACACCCGCACAGCGCAGGTTCTGAGCCCTGGCTGCTCCACTTCTGGCACAGCTTCCTATATACGTGCCTGAGAAAGCAGCGGAGGCCCGGTTCCCATGTGGGACACCTGGGGAAATCTGGCTCCCGGCTTCTGGGGAGTGAACCAGCAGGTGAAAGATCTCTGTCTCTCCCTTTTAATTCTGTCTTTCAAGTAAATTTTTTCAACTAAGTTGCCCTAAAGTATGTTAACAGTCATTTCACAACGAACGTTATCAGGGTTATTAAAATATTTGTCTTGAAAAAAAAAACTGAGTTGATAGGTGAGAGAAAAGGTATGCATGCAGCTCCTCTTACGTTTACTTATAATTACAGAATTCCTCCTGGAGCAGTCTGGCGAGTGAGCCTCTTGACCAAATGACTGCACAGAGCAGCACCACCAGAGCCAGACGAGAGGGGTATACTGGCTTGTACATACTACACCCATGTGATGGACTAACCCAAAAAGCCCCAGCTGAATCTAAGCAGGAGGAAAAGCCAGAAAAAAAAAAAAAATTGAGGGTCCGGTGCGTTGGCCTAGCGGCTAGCCCTCACATTGCATGTGTCGGCAACCCCTTATGGGCCCTGGTTCTAGTCCTGGCAGCCCTGCTTCCCATCCATGAGGTGTGGGAAAGCAGTCAAGGATGGCCCACAGACTTGGGAATCTGCACCTGCATGAGAGACTCAGAAGAGACTCTGGGCTCCTGGCTTCAGATGGGCACAGCTCAGGTCGTTGTGGCTGCTTGGGGAGTGAATCAATGGACAGAAGATCTTCCTCTTTATATCTGACTTTCTGATAAAAAAAATATATATATATATATATATAAATTGAGTGTGTTGAATAATGTAAATAAAATAAAATAAGGAATGGCAAATGACTGAAGAGATGCAACTACTAAATGCAATGCAAGATTCTAAGATTGGCACCTCCAGCCAAAGCAGTTTAAAGTGGTAGAATGTGGGGGTTCTCAAATGCACTGCAGGCTGTATGCTAGTTTCAAAGGAGAATGTTCCAGTTCTTTGGAGATGCATGTGGTAACGTTTAAGGGCAAAGTATTATGGTGTCTGCAATGAACTTCAACTAATGAAAGAGGAAAGCGAAAAGAAGTGGGGCAAATACTGGCTGCTCAGTAATGAATTTCAGGTTGCATTGCACCAGTCTTAACAATCTGATAAATTTGAATTGTTCTCAATCTAAAAGTTTGGACAGGCAGAGCGGGTGTTGAGCCTCCCAGTTAAAGTGCCTAAATCCCATATCCGAGTGCCTGGGATTCTCAGCTCGATTCCTGCTTCCCGCTAGTAATGCCTGGGAGACAGTGGAGCTTTATTTGAAAGAGTTATAGAGAGAGATCATTCATTTACTAGTTTGTTCCCAGAAGGGCCATAATGGACAGCAATTGGCCAGGCTGGAGCCAGCAGCCCGGAGCTCCATCTGGGTCTCCCATGTGGGTGCAGGGGGCCACATACTCGGACATCGCCCACTGCTTTCTCACTTAACACTTCGGTGAATTCCTTCTGCCTCCTCACAGCGGACAGGATCCAGTCCACAGGCACTTGGTCCCAACAGAAGGTACCAGCACATCAGCTTTAGCCAATGACTTTCTGAGGAACCGTCTCAGCTATTCAGCACATGAGTTGAGCATCACCATTCACGTCAGCGTCCTGGGTCCCTAAACCCCACGCCACACAGCCATTCCATGTTTCACCAATGTCTGTTGCAGGGGTTTAGATCATACTGTGCCAGCATTGCTGATGTATGCCACGTGGGCAAACAATAAACGTTCAGCCACTGAAATCACGACTGGTATGGGCCTTGCCCAAAGTCAGAGTGTTCTGTTACTGGTAACGCAGGGTTTTTCACATCTGTCAAAAACACTGTCAGTGTGACAGGTCTTAGGACTGGATTCAGCAGGGGTTTTGTAACACAAGATCCCAATCCTGATACCTAAGTTTCCATCAGGATGGCCGCAACACGACGTGGTCACAAACGCCTGGATCAGGGTACCCGCTTCAAAGGTGCCCTTGGCATGCAATCCAACAGACATCTGTACAGATGCGAAAGGCTTCCTTCACAAATGAAAACAGTGTTTGAGAGAATTTAAAGGACATTTAATGCTTTTTAAAAAACCATATTCAAGTTCTGAATATTTTAACTTACAGAATTTTGCATGCAGCCCACTTGTTTCTGCAGAAAGGTAAAAGACCATGCGTGTGGGGTGAGTTCTGCTATTCTGATAGTTCAGTACCACTTTGTACCTTCAGCCAGCCCACCGTTGGTTAAAGGTCACACTGCTTTCCCTCTCGGCCACGGCCTCATTTTCTTTCCTTGTGTTCTCGTGTGTAGCTTCGAGGGGCAGGGTATTCATTCCCAAGATCCACAACAATCACCTCCCTAGAGAATGTCACACCTTTCAAAGGCCTTTTGTTATTGTCCAAAACTGAAGGTGTCCTGTTGATGGATGCGTGTGTTTTCTGAAAATCCTCACCCTGCAAGAGAACAGGACAACTTTACAAAAGATCAACTTGCAACCCTCACACACCCTGCTTATCAAACTATGAGCCATGTGTACATGACAAAAGATGACCAATAAGAAAGCAGTGACAACCCATCACAAACACAGCTTCACATGTTGGTGACTGTCAAAGCCCACAGTGACATTCTCCAATGCCCTCAGACACAGGGTGCTACCCTCCATGTGCAACTGTCAAACCTCATGGCCACCTGACCCCTGTGCCTGGACAGGCAGGGCACAGCCACATGGTGCTGACAGGGGGAGGGGTTTGTATGAGTTGTGCCTGGTGGGAATCCCTGGGCATGACGCTCATCAGGCCCTGGCGATGGCCATGAGCAGTTGAAGGAGAAGCCCGTGATAGGAACAGGCACCTGGGGTGTGCCCCATGCTCAGCCTTCATGAGAAGGAGTAGTTTACTTCAACATCTCACTTATAACCTGGCAGTATTGGAAGCCCAGATGATCCCCAGTCTCGTTCAAGGTGTGTGATCCTGGGACACCAAGAAAACCAAAACCAAGGATGACTCAACTAAGAAAAACCCGAACGTCAGAATATGGGACAAGCAAGTTTCCAGGCTCAGGTTAACCACCTGAGCTGACAGGCCAAGAATAGTTCCAACAACCGGCAGAGCCTGGGCAAGCAGGCTGCAACTACAGAACAAGCACACCTTGCTTTCCGCTCACACATGAAACCCTGCCTGATCCTGAGAGTGAAAAAGCTCCTCACCTCTGGGTTGGTTTCTTCAGCATTCTCAGGACCTTTCATTCTATCCTCTTCCTCTGCCTCCATATCGTCTCTGTTTTCAAGGGATGCATTCACCACTTCCTTGCTCCGTCTCTGGACAAGAATGCCAGGCCTCGGAGGTGCATTCAGATTCACCACCTGCCTCAGGATCCTGGGAAATCAATCTGGGGTCACACACACAGCACGTGGTCCAGGCACCAGCATCCCACACCGTGACTTCCGGGGCAGCTGAGGATACACTCACTTTTCTTGGTTTCCTGGGAGGTTCACCTCAGCATTAGCAACTGGACAAGTTTGCCCTCCATCTGCATCTGTACATGGGACTTTTTCTTTTTCTGTCTCTTCCTCTTTCTTGCTTTGGAAACTGAAAACGAACGAGCAGAGAGCATTCATGGGAATTTGGATAGACTTGGGACTCAGGGATTTCCCTCTTAAACAGGAGCTTGATTAGCATATCTGAACTGGAAAGAGGCACTAGCTATGGCATTATTCCTTGTCCCACTTCACACTGTCATATATTACTTCTAGATGTTTGCAACTGGTCCTTGAAACCCGATCCCAATTCATCAGTGTGGGTTTATACCATTTATATAGAAAAACCACCAGTAAAAGGAAGATGCAAATGAGGCAAATCAGAAGCAAGATGAAGAAAGAGAAGGCCGTGGTTTCAAAGCTCATAGGGTTAGCTAGAAGACTTGTCCACTCCCACAGTCACCCAGAATGTCCAAATATTCTTCTCCAGTTCCGTTCAAGTGTGGTTCCCTTGTTCCTTTTAAGTTTTCCAGAAAGAGAACAAGCCAAGCCTGTGTTCACTGTGGCTCTTAAGGTCAGCTTGTCTTCACCACGGACGCTCTGCAGGTCCTAGTGCAGTTAACTCACACCGGCTAATTTCTCTCCATAAATGCAGAGGGGGGTGAGGTAGCCAGAGGGGAGACTGAGCTGGGACACGTGTGATTACACAGCTCACCTCCCCTCTCCCCAAAAACCATCAAAATCCAGAGGAGGGAGGAATCGAGCAGCTGGAGCCGGGCCTGCCTCCCCATTCTCCTCTGGGCCAGTGACATCACAGAACCTTGGAATTGCCAAGTGGAAGACAGAGTGCCGCCCACTGGGGCCAGCCAGCACAGGAGGCAGGAGCACGCTCAGCAGCTCAGTGCTGTCCCTTGGTCTGCCACCCCTTTCCCACCTGCCAATAGGCCTTTCTTCCCAGCCTCCAGAGAGCAGCTTCCCTCCCCTGAGCTCAATGCCTTCCTTGCCTTGTTTGCAGACCATGAACAGCTGATCTAATTCCTTCTTACAAAGTGCCTCTTGAACACTCTGAGATCAGCCCCCTCTCGAGGGTGTGTCCCAGGCTGACCCGTCTCCATCTCCCTGGACCCACTTCCTAGGCGCACAAGCCAACTGGCAGGTCTCATGGCCGAGGCTGAGGGGGCAGGAGTGGGATGAAGATGATCAGAGGGTGGTCCCTGCCCTGCCAGACCTAACTTCAGGAAACAGTGAGTGATGCTCAGAACAAGGAGCCAGAGGGTGGGACTAGGCTTTTCTGAGAAGAAAAATGGGTGTAACCGTGAACAGTACCTGCTGCCAACCTCATCTAAGGTAGTCAGGGATGAGCCTGGCAAGGGTGGTCTGTGATGTTGTTGCTATAAGAAAATGTCACAGAGGAGCTCATTTACCAAGAACAAGCATTTATTTCTCACATTATGGAGCCTCGAAAGTCCAAGTGCAAGGTTTCAGCCCTGCCTCTTAGCTTCCAGAAGGAAGCAAAATGCTGAGCTTCGTGCACCCTCAGCATAAAGGCAGCTAGGAGTGTGTACACGCCTGCATGTCCAGCGAGGATGCTGGTATAGCTAAGAATGCACACGCTCCAACTGGGTGCCCAGGGGACTGCATCTAACACAGGAATTCTAGATGATACACATGCACAGCACAGCAGGGGCTCTCCCTAGACACACTTCACTGGCTTTGTCTTTGCTTTCTTAGTTTCACCAAGGCAGGACTTGCGCAGTCCATATGTGTCAAATGAATGTGTGCATGTGTGCAGTTATGTGTGGGAAGGCTTGGGCCAAGGCTGGTTTTTGCAGAAAATGTGGCAGTCTGAGTCAGGTGTGGCAGTCGGATGAACTCCAAGACCATTCCTCCAGCCTTGGCTGTCATGTGAAATCTCAGCATATCTCCCAGGGCCGCCTTTACCCATCCTGCTGCCAGAGTGACACCTTGGTCATAGGCAGTGGCTGTACTTCTCATAACTCGGCCCCCATGGAGGGGTTTAGTAGGGACATTGTTCAATTTTTTCAAAAGATTTTTTTGCAACCCTTGAAATGCTCCTATGAGATTTTTAAAAGATTTTATTTATTTTTATTGGGAAGTCTGAAGTACAGAGAGGAGAAGAGACAAAGAGGAAGATCTTCTATTGGCTACAATGGCTAGAACTGAGCCAAGCCAATCCGAAGCCAGAAGCCCAGAGCCTGGAGCTTCTTTGGATCTCCCACATGGGTGCAGGGTCGCAACACCATGGGCCATCCTCTACTACTTTCCCATGGCCACAAGCAGGGAGCTGGATGGGAAGCATGACCCCTGGCATATGAACCAGCGCCCATATGGTATCCCGATGGTACAGGAAGGCAAATTTTGTATTATATATACCTTATTTTATCACAATTAAAAATATTATTTATGGGGGCTGTCATGGTGGCACAGCACATTAGACTACTCCCTGCAATGCCATTAAGTAATGGAGCACCAGGTTCAAGACCTAGCTGCTCTGTTTCTGATCCTACACCCTGCCAAAGGGGGAAGATGGCCTAAGTGCTTGGGATCTTTCTACTCATGTGGGAGACCCAGACGGAGCTCCAGGCTCCCTGCTTTGGCCTGGGACAGTCCTGGTGGTTGCAACCATTTGGGGAATGAATCAGCAGATGGAAAATCTCTTTGTCTCCCCTGTGTCCCTGCTTTTCAAATAAATCTTTGAAACAAAAAATTTGTGGAACAAAGAAAAGGGAACTCATTTATGAATTTCTCAAGAACATAGCAGATCTTAGGAAAGCAAAACCAGCACAGAAATCTCTAAATTCTCCTGCTTATTGGACTTTTGTCTTCAAAAATAATGCCCTATAGTCGACCTCAGCCTTTCACCTGTCCCCTCCTCTAAAGCTTCCAAGACTTGGTTCTAAGCCTTTCTCTGGTGCCACCATCACCAGCTGTGCTTTCTCACGGCTCTCGCTCAGGTAGAAGATGCCATGGCACATGCCTGCACCCTAGCCCCTGCCCTGATCAACTCCAGCCCTGGGCATGCTTGGAGCTGACAGTCTCTCATATTCTTTGTCAATTCTTATTTCCTACACCCCAATTACCCCTTTATTCCAGAATCCCAGAACACTGAAATTTATATTTCTCCCTGTTATCGAACCCTCTTTTTAAAATTCTGTACCAGAATGCCTGGTAGTATCTTAAAGTGCTTCCACCCTCATAGATGTCTTTTTTTTTTTTTCATTTTGTATCATATGATCATAAAAGCTACATTTTTTTCAGGGCCTGGGGAAAAGGCACACCAGGCAACAGCTGTGGGAAGTGGTGCCCAGGCACACCCTCTGCAGGCCCGCCCTGCCCGAAAGCCATGCCTGCATATGGACTTCAGGTGACAGTGAGACATCAGGCTGGCACTTCAGACATGAGCAGAGGCAGAGCTTCCTTTTCCGGCAAGGCAGGCTTCTCTGGAGCTCTTGGCATCTGCCTCACTGTGGTCACACTTCAGTTCTTCCCAGGACAAGCAGTGATGCCTTCCTTCTGCTGGCCTGCCTCTGGGCTCCTCTGCTGTGGGGCCAGTGTGTGAACTCCTGGTGTGTGTCCATAGTAACCTGGGCTTCAGGTAGGGCCAGGGCCCATGTGAGAATCCACACTTAACTCCCCAAGACTTTGATCCACAGATGTGGTAGGATCCTCTGAGAAAAACCAGATTTCTGGATCACAGGCCAGAGGGAGGACATTCAGCGGCATCAGGCACAGCTGTTAGAATTTAGAAGGCAGGGGTAGCTCCAGCACACAGACCCTTCAAGACAGTTTATAGTTCAGGAGTCAATTGGCAACCCCAGGCTGGCCTGTACCCCTTGTAGCAGCCTGGATTCAAGTCCGGATTACACTGCTTCTAATCCGGTTTCCAGCTAGCATATGTCCTGGGAAGCAGCAGATTATGGCCAAAGTGCTTGTGTTTCTGCTACCTATGTGGGGGATTCTGGATTGAGTTCTAGACTTTTGGATTCAATCGTGGCTGTTGCAGGCACTTGGGGAGTGGACCAAGAGATGGAAGTTCTCTCTCCAATTGTCCATTTCTGTCTCTTAGGTTAATAGGGACTGGTGCTGTGGTGTGGTGTAGTGAGTTAGGCTGCTGCATGCAGGACTGGTATCCCATAGAGTTGCTACTTCAAATCCCAGCTGCTACATGTCCAACCCCGATCCCTGTAATGAACTTAGGAAAGCAGCGGAATATGGTTCAAGTCCTTGGCCCTTGCACCCATGGGGAAGACCCAAATGAAGCTTCTAGCTCCTAGTTATGGCCTGGCCTCAACTGTTGTGACTTGGGGAGTGAGTCGGATGACGTGGGGCAGGACAAATGACTGCTTCACGGGACGATGCTGGAGTCTTGACACACAGCGCAGGCCAGAAGCTGGGCTTTTTTTTAAAGATTTATTTTTATTTTTATTGGAAAGGCGGATATACAGAGAGGAGAGACGGAGAGGAAGATCTTCCCTCCGATGATTCACTCCCCAAGTGAGCGCAACGGCCAATGCTATGCCGATCCGAAGCCAGGAGCCTCTTCCAGGTCTCCTGCACGGGTGCAGGTTCCCAAAGCTTTGGGCCGTCCTCAACTGCTTTCCCAGGCCACAAGCAGGGAGCTGGATGGGAAGTGGGGCTGCTGGGATTAGAACCGGCGCCCATATGGGATCCTGGACGTGCAAGGCGAGGACCTTAACCACTTGTGCCACCACCGCGCCGGGCCCAGAAGCTGGGCTTTTGACCTTGTGAGTCAATTCCTTTCCTCTCTGCTGTCAGCCAGTTTGAATAGGGCTTATGTCTCCAGCCACACAGTACTGTCCTGCCCTTTGCTGAGCCATCGACACCAGAGGCCTGACCCTCTTCACCTGCCCTGACTCAGTGGCCACTAGGTAGGCTCTCTCTGGCCTCTGACAACAGGGGAAACAAAATGGCTAGCCTGTACCCTCGTCTGGCTGGAACCAGAAATTCTGCTCTTAGTAGGGTCGCTGTGGCAAAGTTGGCACTTTCCCCCTTGGAGGAAGAGGCACCAGCTAGCTCCCAGAGGCCAACACTGGGAGGAAGATCCTAGCAACCTCAGGATCCCTGCAACTGCCAGCGCCTCGCACCTGCCTGACAGAAACATCTCTAAGACAGTACATCTGAAAGGAGTAGTAGTAACGTTGCATGTCATAACTCTCTCTCTCTCTTTCTCTCTCTCTCTCTCTCTCTCCCTCTCTCTCTCTCTCTCTCTCTCTCTCTCTCTCACACACACACACACACACACACACACACACAATCTTCCAAATGGCCACAGTGAAGAGCTGGGAACTCAATGCAGGCCTCCCACATTGGTGGCAGGAACTCAGTTACTTGAGCCACTACTGCTGCTGCTGAGGGTCTTCAGTGGCAGGAAGTAGAGCCAGCATCAAACTGAGGCACTGCGGTGTGAGGGATGCCTACTGGCACCATTTTTTAAATATTTATCCATTTTTATTTGA